GGACAAGGAATGCCCGTCTTCTTCATCTCTTGAGCGGAAATCAACGTATTGATTTTGCTCTCGAGGTTTTTAATCTTCAAACTTTCACCTGTGTTTTCGTTAGCATTCTCGTTACCACCCCCTGCATTGACGAGAGGGTTATTAGCATTATGCACTTCATTCGCATTCGTGTCCTCATCTTCCTGATGAACCTGGTTACGACGACTTGGCTCGCCTTGCTGGTTCGTCAATGCTTGGATTTGTTGGTCATGCATTTCTCTCATGTTCTGCATGGCCATCTACATTTCAAACTTGAAGCTCTCTTGTTGTTTAGCCATGGCTTCTTCAAGCATCTTGGCCACTTGTTCCGTACTTATCATAAGTGCCTCGCGGGGTTATCCCTCGCTGGATACCGTATTATCTGATGCGACCGCCGAGCCGGCATCTGATTCTTCATCTTCTGAAGGTAATCTTGTCTGAATCCTACCATAAGTTGCTCGTTTGATGGTTCCAGACTGCAGACGGGTTATACGCCGGGGTGCTTTCAGAATCGACTCGAGATTATCCTGTGTCGATGTCCCTTTGCTGGTCATATTAGTGGTGACCCTCGGAAATTCTCCGTCTTCAACCACCGCTCTTCTTCGTTGGAAACGCCTAGGCCTTGGTTTTGGCATTTCAGTACTGAGTCTTTCGAAAACCGAAACTCTTTCAGGAACTGTCTTGATGCAGTTACACTCAGACAATACTGCCCGAATGAGTTTGGAACAGGGGCATTGAGTTTCTTGTTCTCGAGGACTCTTTTTCCTGGTTTTACTCGTACCCCTAGCACGATAGTACAACTCGTCCGCTTAAAGGTCGGAGTAACCTATCGTGTGTTGGCACGACTTCTCAGGTATAACGCTATCGTCATCAGACAATAATGTTTCCTTCTGAGGACGAACTGTCTTCCTTGGCTCTCAAGAGTCATGCGCCTCGAAACACGCATTTGTGGGCGTAAGTTCTCAACGGGCTCCTGGACTTCAATGCGCAAATTGGTACGCCTAGCTGCCCTAATTTCTTTGTCATGTTGAGGGTGGCGGCGACCCCCAGCGTGTTGAGTCGTTCGGGGCTTCTTGATCGGGCCCAAGCGTTCTTGAACTAGCGCCTTGTATCGTTCATTGGGAAGTGGACCGAGGCGCTCCAAAACTGACTTCTTTCTTCGGGATGATTCTGCGTGATCTCCCGGAGTAGCCATGAGAATTATTAGCGATTTAGGTTGGTTCACCGAAGGTTGAACTTTTGCTGAAGGCTGCAAATGTTGCTCCTTAGCCTGAATCGCCGCTTCAAACTTCGGCCTCTATGCTTGGCGGGTTGGTGGCGGCTTTTTGGCCACTTCCTTCTGCAGTCTTCTGCGGGCTTCCTGGACTTGAGCCCGTGCTTGCGCTGACAGTGCGCGGCGCTTGCGAATGCGCTCATCAAGTGTGGAACGATTCCGTTTGACACGGACCCATTCATTCGTTGGCGGCTTGGAGGAGCTGCCATTCATTGTTTGTTGAGGCTGTTTGCCTCTCCTGTTCTTCAGATCCGCGTGATAGCGGATTCCGTCAGTGGACTCCATCGCCTTTGCGAGTTGTCGCGCCAGGCATTAACGTCGCCTCTGGTGGGCTCTCTTCGAGAGAGTCACAACACCCTCAACGGTGGAGGCATTGGTGAGAACAGGGTTGACCTGGTTAGAGGTCGGCGGAACTTCACCCGACGCAACTTTGGCGTCAATTGGGGTGAGAGCTTCGTTGGCGTTCTATACTTCTTCATACCAACGAACTTTTCTCCTGGAGGAGAACTTCTTGGACTTGCGGGGGGAGATGGATCCGGACAAGGATGACAGATACTCCTCGAACTTTTGTTGGTCGAATTCATACCTGACCTCCTCCTCGACCGGGATTGAGATCCGCGGCTGCGACGCGATGATCTCGGCAGCGAGATCGGTGGATCCCACTATAGTCGCCAGATTGTTCGCGAAAAAAATTACGTTCTTCGATTACATTGATTCCTTTGTTAACAGTTTATCAGTTACAAAGATCCGGTCTTTTTATAAGATCCGGTTACAACGAGATCAAAGAGAAAATAAAAAAAAATTACAACTTTCCTTGAACAAATCGCAAGATCATGTTTTGCGGTCTCTTGCTTGTGTGGGTTCTTCGTCTGCGCCAGGGTTAATCCATGGACCACCACGCGATCTTGATCCGGTCGGATCTACACGGTATGACGGATACTATTTCACGAAGGAAATAACAGCCGGGGGTACTATTTCGCTAAGGAAATAATAGCCTTTAGTAATCGAAATTGACCAAGCGAAATCGAGACTCTTCTCGGGATCAAAGGCCAAGCTTTGATCCGGAGGAAAACCGTGTAGATCTCAGATCTGATCTCTCTCGAACTCCTGCCTTATTTGGCGTGGATGATCGCCAAGAACCAGATCTGAGAGTCCGAGTCTTCTAAGTTGAAAATCCGAGGGTGAGTTTTCAATCCAGCAGAGTTTCGGCTCCAAAATTCCAACCCTTGAAAATGAGCTCTTACTCCTCTATTTATAGCTTCTGAAAGCAAATCTGGGCCCAGATCTGGGCCCAGATCTGAGTGTGGCTGGTTCGGCCACCGAGCCACCTCTAGGTGGCTCGGTTTTGGCCGAGTCCTCCAGGTGTTTGGTTTTACGCCCGTTTTCCGGTTTTGCGGTTTATCCGAGTTTTATTGTTGATCTGAACTCTGATTTGGTAGTCCGGATCCTGATTTGACAGTAAATCCGCCTTGGAGTTCGAGTTCGAATCCGTTCTACGGTTGGATGACTCGTTGGCTCACCGAACCGTTAGCTTGATTCCGCACGCGAGTGGATGTATTCCGTTGTTCGCGTGCGGTTCGTTAACCTCGTCGCCTCGTTAATCCGCTTCGTCGCGTGTCACTTGGCTTTGGTGTTGTGGTCCAACGATCGTGTTTGGATATGTCGCCCGATGGTTCGTTGGTTTATTGAATCATCGTGCCGAGCTGTGTTAAGGGACCTATAAGCAGTTTTATACGCCTACACTAGCACACTCTCAATTATATTACCAGGAGTTAATTTAAGCTTCTTCTTTAATTTTGGCATAATCAACTGCGCTATGTAAGAGGCAGATGCACCGCTGTAATCTTGCTCTAATATTAGATTGCTACATGTGTGAACACTACAATATTCTATGATCCTAAAATGCCCATTATATTTCTTTCCGGCAAATGCATATAACTTCGAAGGATGTGCATAATCAGCTTTATTTCCTCGGCCTGACCTTTCCTTTATGTATTCATAAAACAAATTGCACCATATAACTTGTGCAATTGCTTTTAACTTGCTTGAATTTGACATTCTTTTTGATTGAGTAATCACAAATAGCATCAACCAATTGGTCCTTAGTCTCGAATAAATCTCCAACTCTGAAATAGACGTCATCATCTCATCTCTTCTATAAGTTGAACTTTGGCCAATGCACATATCTTGTATTGTGGCAGAACAAATGCACTCATCATCTTCAAACTCATAGCGGGTGGTTCTTTGTACTCAACATATTCATTATTAGCATAAGCATCATCAGGCCAATCTGGATTCTCTTCAACATCTTCAGTCATAAATTGCATGCTATTAATTGGTGCACTATCTTACTCTTCACCTTCAGAGTCGTTGCTTCTTTCATCTTCTTCAATTGTTGCCCCTCTTAACGGCCTCATATTTTTATAAGGGACGTCATTGTTCATGACATTCAAAGTTCCCCCGAATGAAAGTGTACTCAGATATTGAAAATTGAGTCCGCTCCATTTCAGTCAAAGAAGAAAGAAAACCATCAGTCTCAACTCCCAAATCTAACATGCGTGGGAATTCTCCTAGAGGTTTGAATATTTGGCACAGACTATATGACAACTTTCAATAAACAATTCTACCGTTGGTTGTGACTTGCTCAAATTAAACATAATACTCATATGATGATCGTTTGAGATCTCAACCGCGGACGTTCTATCAAAAGTTATGGGTCAATTGCATATTATTTTTAGTCGGTACTCCCGTGGGTCAATTTCCATAACTCGGTGTAATTTTTTAATCAAGTTACACTAAACTATATGATTCCGAGATCATTAACGACATCGTTACCCCTCCGATGTACATTGACATATTATTCATTCCATAATTAATTTTCCTACCATAAGAGAAAGCAATAAAAATCATATTGTTCAACCTATGGAAAAGAAGATTATATCATTTAAATGAAAAATATTTAGAAAAGTTTATCAGGGAATTAAATAAGAGAGGAAAGCCCAAGATGCAAATAATCTCATATATAATTTTGACCGAAAACCCTAAACCCTAAAATAAAAATCCTAAACCCTAGAATTGAGCATTCTATGCCTTAGAAGTTTACTTTTAATTACAACAATCAACACACAAAGTATTCGAACCACCACAAATAGAGTGGTTGATAATAAATTTCAAACCTTAGAAATTGGATTTTGATAGAAAACCCTAAAATTTATACATGTTAAAAGAGGAGAAAAGGAAGAGAAATTACCCTAAAGATCTTAAGCAAACTTTCACGGTGAATTTTGACTACAAAATGGGGTTGGGAGAGATGGGTTGGCGGCTAAACGATAGAGAGACCGGAGTTGGAGAGGAGAGAAATCAGGATTTTAGGGTTGGACTGCTATTTAGCTTTGCGCTTTTTACCGTTATTTTACCGCAATAGCCCGAAATAGCCTTAGCGATGCCTCACCGCTATACGACGCTATCCGCTATCGATAACCTTGCTTTCTGGTCACGAAGCTGACGTGACGAGAAAATCAATCGATTTTGGTAAATAAGTTAGGAATGGGCCGATTTTGAGGATTAAAATTGGGAATGGGTTGATTTGAAAAACTTCTCCAAAAAACAAACTATTGGAAGCTTTGTGGAAATTGACTCAAAAGTATTGGGGGTTCGTGAAATTTACCCATTTATTTATTTATTACCAATAAATGGATGCGTTCGGATCCGTGCCCTAGCGAAGTGACAAGGGAAGGCGAAATAGGAAGGCGGGTGTTTCCTCCAGATCTACTAATAATCAGTAGAGTAGAGTAGAGCAGAGTAGTCAGCAGCGGGGAGAGAAGAGTGGGAGAATCCAGACAAAACGCTCTCTTTTATTTTCTCACTTTCTCTTGCACTCTCTCTCTCCACGTACATCTGCAGAAGTAAAATTGGAGTTATTCATGGCCATGGCGATTCCAGCGGCATTGGTGGTGGTTCCTCTGGGGCTCCTCTTCCTTCTCTCGGGTCTAATTGTCAACCTCATTCAGGTGACTTCCCTACTCTTTGTCTGTCCGATTTTCTAATAATTTTTTGGTAAAGATCCCGTCTTGATCAGTCTATTGGAGGGGGATCTCTCTCTCTCTCTCTCTCTCTCTCTATCTATCTATCTATCTATCTATCTAATTATCTACCTATCTATCTGTCTACAGGCCGCATGCTTTGTGACGATTCGCCCTTTATCCAAGAGCGTGTACAGGAGGATCAACAGAGTTGTGGTTCAACTGTTGTGGCTCCAGCTTGTTTGGCTTGTTGATTGGTGGGCAGGCGTTGAGGTACTACTATTACTCCCTGAGTCCGCAGTCCTTCTAGGATTATGTGAAAAGTCCTTTGTTTAGGGGCTGTTTGGTTGTATGTTTTTACCATGTAAAATGATGGAAAGTGTAAAAAAGTGAGTCCTAATGTCAGCTTTCATCACTTTATTGTTTGTTTAAATTCTTTTTTACATGAAAAGTTTATACCCTTTTGATGAGGTGTCACCGAAAGCAAAATCACCAAAATTAGGAGTTATTTTGTTGGAAACCTTACACAATGTCATAAATGTGTCCAAAAAAATAATAAAAAAGTCAAAACCTTGTAGAAAGTGATGAGGTGGATAACCACTTTTCATTTTGTGTCATAAATACTCTAGTTTACATTATACTATCCAAACAATATTGTAATATTATTATTTTAGGATTCACAAAGATTCCTAACCAAACAATGTAAACACTCGAATGAAAAGTGGTGAGGTGGATAACCACTTTCTATTTTGTGTCATAAATACTCTAGTTTCCTAAAGGCATCCAAACAGCCCCTTAGGGGCTGTTTGGTTCGCTAAAAGAATTGGAAATGAGAAGAAAAGAAAATGTTTTCTTAAATATTGGTCCATTTCTTGTTTTTGGTTCACTTTTTAAAAGTAAAAAAGAAATGAGATGAGATGAGTTGTCATTATATTATTGGATGATGTGAGTGATTTTTAAATAAAACTTATTGGATGTTCTTTTCTTGTGTTTGGTTGGCTAAAAAAATAAGGAAAAGACTTAAAAGGAAAAGACTTTCCTTGTTTAGATTCCTTTATTGTGATTGGTTCATTCTTAAAACTAAGAAAAGAAATGAGATGAGATGAGTTGTCATTATATTATTGGATGATGTGACCCACACTTAAGGAAACTCATTTCCTAGTTTTTTTGGAGGAAATGGGTGGAGATGAAAGTTTAAGGAGATGAGATGAGTTGTCACCATATTATTGGATGATGTGATTGATTTTTAAATATGAGATGGAATGAGATGAGATGAGTTGGATGATGTGATGATAAAAATAATATTTTATTAGATGTTGGATGATAAAAGTAATATTTTATTGGATGAGTTGGATGATAAAATAATATTTTATTAGATGAGTTGGATGATAAAATAATATTTTATTGATTGTTGTGGTAAGTTTTAGGAATGGAAATGGTTGAGAATAGGAAATGAGAGATTATAATAATATTTTAATACAAAAAGTACATGGAAATCCTTTTCTTGGTTTTTAGGAAACCAACCAAACAGCCCCTTATAGTTAACAAGGCTATAGAAAGCCCTAGGCGGCCTAGGTGCTAGACTCGGCACCTAAAGCCTAGGCATCTAAGTGGTCTTCTTTTTCTTTTTAACTACAACAATTCATAATAAATGCATTTAATTCATAGAAAATCTAAAATAAATATAAAAAAAAGGCAAATAGTCTAATACACGACATAATAATCCAATTTGTTTCTCCTTGATGCGGATTTCTATTTTTGTTTAAGTGATGGCGGAGGAAGTTTTGCTGAAGTTTGAAGGAGTTGTAGGTGGTGTTCGTAGTTGGTGGAGGAGGCCAGAGGAGTTCGAAGGTTTGAGGATGATGGCGACCAAGGCCCAAGCGGTGCACTCTACGTAAGCGGCCAACTTTCCCTTAGGCACTCCGAAGACATAGGTGGGCGGCCTAGGTATTGCATAGGCCTAGGCGGGTCATACACCCGCCTTTTGAAACATTGACGATTAACTAAACTATAAACAATAGTTACGAGAGGATTATTATCGGTTTGACAACAAATCATAATGCTCTGTTGAATCATTTCTATGCCTCATAGTCGAACCCAGTTTGATGGAAAAAGATGTAGATGGTGATAACAATGATGATCATTTTACCTCTTAGAGAAACTATGACCTGTTTGGAGAATATTGCCTTCCCTGTGGATTCCGATATGAAGGATGCTCTGTATAAAGCCATGGGAATGTCACTTCATAAGTGACAACTTGGAAGCTACAGAATTTAGGTGGTTGATCGAACCCTAGTCATTTCAATACTCATAATAATTTGCTTGTGTATTCTATTTGACAAATTAATAATATGATTGCAACCTGCAGAAATATAACCTCCTAATAGTTCGTATGTGTGTGTAAGTATGTAGCACTCTATGTATGATGATATTCAGACACGATAGATATATCACTCTAAAACTCCTAGTTCCCAGCTCAAATGCATGGGAGACCCTGTTCAAAGTGATCTCCACATTCCATAGCACACAGGGATGTAAAGTCATAATCTAATTAAGAATATGCGGAGTTCCTAAAACAAAATTTCAGATACTGGATTTAGTTTTTTAGGTGATTAACAAATGCTTATTACTCTAAATATGATTACGATTATTGTCTTATGAACAGGTCCTGTTTTTTAAAAGAAATATGCGATCATTTTAGGATGCATAGTGCACCTAACTTGTCTAGGAAATATCATATTAGTTTATTCCATAAGATTATAGATTGTTGGTTTTTCTGAAGATTATCGACTCCATTTCCGATAATGAGATGCTCTAGATGAATCTCTCACTTTTTGCGAAATTTATAATCAACTTTCTTTATGTACTTGACATGTCTCTTTTCTTGTGTACATCTAGAAGCCTAATAGCGATAATAATAATATTTGGCTCATTTGTTTTCTCTGGGAAGATCATTTAGCTACCTGAGGAGCATCATCAGTTTCCATACTGTGATTCTTATATTTCAGAAATAAGCAGAAACCCAATCTATCTCTCTGTACGCAACAACTTGGTTGCTCATTAAGATGGGCATCTTGAGGTGCATTTCATCTCTATTTGCTAGTATGCCTCTCATCCAAGAGGTGGTTAGGTCATAAATTTTTTTCACATGCTGAAAGGGGCAAATCTTCCCAAGTCTTTTTACCAAGTCTGTGTATGTTCAAGAAGATAAACCTCAGTGTTATAAAGGCTATGATTCGCGATGGCACTCGCTATCCATGAACATCACTGGCTCCTTAGGCACATTCAAAATCATCCCAACTGTCAGCAGAGCCAAAAGAAAGCAGTACAACTACAACAACCTCTTTATTTCCATGTTTTCTTGGCTATTTGAAATTTTGGCTTTGCTATTTGTATGAGTTTGGATTTCATTGGTCACTCCACGGACATCAGAGTTAATGCCCTTTCCCTCAAAAATCAAAACATCCCCTTCTTGCATGTTCATAGTTGTTATTAATTGACGAAGTATAAGCCCCATGGGCTACTTTGTTTTGGAATAATAAGAAGTTTACAGATTAAACATACGCCTAGCTGCAAGTAAGTGACTTAGTTCAACTTGTACTCTAGTAGCATTTGGTCAGAAAGACAAATGGCACGCCTCATTTTTTCCCACTTTGGATATCCTGAAGGTCAAGAAGAAGGTACGCGCGAAAAAGTCTGCTATCTGCAAATGTTTGTTTCCCTTTTTGGCATGACAGATGGTGGTTGCCATCATCCAGTTTTAGTCTTCTATATAGAGGGTGTTACCACCACTCAATATACTATTTAGTATAGTAGAAAGCATACAAATTGTGCAGTATCTGTGCATGTGCATAATCAGAGAACTTGACCGATCAGTGTGCCACGTCACACCAAACCTCATCCTGATATATTTTTCCAATAGAGAACTTGACTAATTAGAGTAACTTTCACCTTGCCTCCCTAGTTAAACCAAGAGTCTCCCAGCTCCCAGTGAGGAACAATTTGAATTAAAAACCACTACAGAAAGATCACTGCAGAGTAATCCTATAAGTATAATAATAGCCAAGAAAATGCAATCACATCAAAGTAATCTAAATTCTTCTTTGCCGTAATTGGTTTAGCATACCTGTCATTACTTTAATCAGAAAAATGCTGAAACCAAATCTCATAATTATTGGAACTAAACTGCCATCATTTACCTTACCACAGGACTCCTCTGCTGTATGCTCCTAATTCCCTTTTATTTCAAGGCATTATATGATTTTTAAACTGACTTGGGACATATTACTGCCCGTAAGCCACCACGATGACTTGCTGTTAACATACAAGGAGCACTTGTTTAGAGCCTGCAAGCTGGGGGTGGGTTTCTTTCTTTTCCTGCCACAGGATGGAGGCTTGTATCTGAACTAAGATCAAATCATGACATGTGTACTGATAGGTTGGTTACTGTTGCATGTAAATATGCTTGCTTATGCAGACTACTGAATTTGAGATACGGGTTCACAAAAGGGCAGTTCTGTTATCTCTATTCCTATATGCTGAACGATTCACTGGGTCTACCACTGGAAAAGCTAGACGATCTTGTAATAGTGACCATCATCACTCAAAACTGAAGCTGTCTACAGTCAACCCGCAGGAAAAAAAAAGACTACAGAAGAGCTTCATGATTTCCTAATCATCATGTCATTATTTCTCCTTACTTAACATGTTGGTGATGCTTTTGATAGAATAGCCCATTCCTTCTTGGAATAGGGTTAGGTATTAATTGATATTTCTTCCACCTTTTCATTTTTATGTCTTAAAAGGTAACTTGTTTCACATGATCACTTAGCCAAACAATTGACCTAGTAAAGATGATGATGGGATTTTGCCTTGTATTGCAAGAGATATGTATTGCTTTTGTTTATCATCCCCAACATTATGTTATAAAAAGTTGCATATCGAATAGTTTAGTTTTCTAGATATTGTTAAAGTGGCGGCTGTTTATTTGGTTATATACTTATCTGTTACAATAGTATAAGGTTAGTTTTTCCCTGCAACATGCATTACTTGTCCCTTGCATGCATATATGTATGTGTTTCTTATGACATAATGCACATCAGGTGCTGATTCCAGTTATCATTACCCACTGATTAACGTGAACAACATCTTTTTGTTCTCTTTTTGTCTCCCATTCTTGCAAACAATTTCTCATGATGTACTACTATATAAATCTTTTAGTGTGGTGTTAAATGTTGGATCTTTTATGCATGTGATAATATTTTCTTCTTCAGATTATAAACAATATGACTTGTATTTCCTTGCAGATCAGATTTTATGCAGATTCAGAAGATCATGAGTTATTGAGGAATAGCTTAGGTAATTTTCTCCTCCATTTGCTATAGTTCTTTCTGCATCAGTTTTACTTATTTTAATATGATGGAGTAGATTCGTTATCTTATAAAAACTTTTCGTTTCTTTATGCTGATACTGAACCATTTACAGGTAAAGAACATGCACTTGTCATTTCTAATCACAGAAGCGACATTGATTGGCTTGTTGGATGGATTTTTGCTCAGGTTCATAGTTTTCACAGTCATACACTTTGGTAGCATGAAAAGTATCTCCACCTTCATTTATTGTATCATTCTTCAATTGCATTCGTCATACTATTAGTGCTTTTTGCATGATATTGGTACTAGACTACTAGTTTCTCTGCTAAAGTGCCTTGATCTTGTTAACATTTTTTAATTCTTGATGTTCGAAATGCTTCTCTCAGCGGGCAGGGTGCCTTGGCAGCACATTGGCAGTAATGAAGAAATCTTCAAAATTCCTTCCTGTAAGTACATTATTAGATACATTGATTTGTTATCACATGGATGCTATACTACCCCATTATTTTTAACCATTTTATTTTACTAGCATTTCTGGTACAATATCGTTTCCAATAATACTAGTTAGCTCATTGACGAGAGCATGTATAACTTATTTTCTTTGATGTTACTCAAGAAACTTTATATTCTTCAAAAGTTTAGTAACTTATTTTTGATGTTTATAAGAAGTGTGAGTTATAACCTGGAATAACGTTTAAAAAACTATTTACTAGTTAATATCTTTCACCTGCAGTTAGCCTGTACATAGCAGACCAAAATGTTCTTTAAACTGAACCATAGATAACTGTCGTTCTCTGTAGATCATTATGAAATGCGAAACAATTGTAAATGTTCAACATATTAAAGCTTGATAGAAATTTTCCTTATTTTCTTTGGTGGTTTTCTGTCATGACCTATGGCCTTGCATGGCTTCTAGCTGTTAGCAATTGCAGAGGCCGTTTTATCTGGTAAACTGTAATATAAATTTTGTACTTGCAGCTAACCTGGAATCATCATGCAATGTGCATGCGCAGCATTACTGATTCCGGTTATCTCTCATTCTGTTTTGACTTTGGAGGAGTTATGCACCTTAGGTATTCTAGCAGAAACTGTTATTTAGTGGAGTAGAGACTGAGAAAAATATGTTCAAGCTAAGAGATTTTGTTCATCTACTAATTTTAACTACTTCACCCATCAGCACTTAACTTTGTTGTGGAAGATTGTCCTCCACACATGTTCCGAAATAAAATTGGTTGGCTAGAAAATTACGATTTATTTTACAGCTCCTTGTTTATTATTATGTTAGGATAGTACTAAAAAAACCAGCTTAGTATATGCTTTTAATTTATTAGGTTGACAATCCTCGTCTGGCTCGTCTATTACTCTGGTCATCTTGTTTGATCCCAATCGAAATTTAGCATCCATATTTCTTTCAGTGATTTTAAGAGAAACAATTCGAGTATAGTCGCTTGTAAGACTTCTCTAGTTTCCACGCTGTCTCATACTACTCAGCAGAACAAATTTATAATCAAACAACGAATTCAAACAAACTGTCTAATCTTCTTTTGGGATCTAGAATTATACACCCCATTAATTAGGATAAACTTTCAAAACTACCAAAATCCAGGAACCACCTAGAGACAAAACAAAATTTGTTTTGTTTTGTTTTTTGTTTATGTATTGTTCCTTTTAACTAAGAGTAAGTCTGAAAAAGGATAGGAGTTCAGATCTGAAGAGGATTAAATCTGTGTTTGTGGATGGATGTCATGATCTTGATGGCAGCAACAGAATATTGGCATAAGAACGAGGATGTTGATATCACAATGTCTTTGAAAGATAACGAGGCTGATGACAATGTTTTAGGTTTTAGGCTGGCACTTAGGTGGTATAGCATTTACAAGGGAACAATAAGACTTAAAGGGGTCAGGTCTGATTACATTTAGGGTTTGTGGACATTTAAGAGCTCAATGTTGCAGCTTGGTTTTGGGACTGATGATGAAGTATTGCCGACCGCAATATAATGTCTAATGCTAGCGACAAGATAACTTTAGTTATGAAGTGTGCTAATTTGGGGATGGGGTGATGGCAACAAACTAGGATTTTAGGATGATGCCAAAGAATTTTTTTTGGGTTGAAAATTTGGATTTTAGAACTTTGAGTTTGATACCGTATTATAAGAGATTTTGAACAAGCGGAGAAGTTGAACAAATATTCTTCCTTCTTGAGTCTTATTTGGTTATTTATGCTGATAGATTTCTACCCTTCTACATAAAAGTCCTTATTTTGATATAGTATTACTTACATTTGTGAATGCTAATTCTAGTGTAATTGTGCCTGACTGATGTAATTTTTCATAGTTAACATGTGGAGTGTAATTTTGTCTGACTGATGTAATTAATCATAGTTAACATGTGAATGATGTTTTATTTTATTCTTATATGCTTTTTATTGCACACTTTAATATTTAAAGCCTCGTAAAACCAGTCCTCCGATCTTATTATAGAGGTTTCGGAAATAAATTTATTATATAATGCTGCTTGGAGACTAAAGAATTTTCTAATAAATTATCTTTCATATAATGCTCTTTGGAAACTAAAGAATTTCATAAATGATGGTAAGGCCTGTTATACAGTCAGGTTTGCTGTTAATAATGTTGCAGCTAACCATGAAAAACTCGAAATTGCAATGTGATTTGTATAAAATTAAGAGAGTTATTTGAGGGTTCTGTATTGAAGACCGTGTACAAGTCATATCAGCGAAGATATGATAATGTGGAAGTAGGAGCGATGATGTGAACTTCCACCAGACTATAACGAAGAAGTTAGTAAAACTTTAAATTCGAAGTGGTTGTAAACTGGTAGGAGAATAGGTAATCAGTCATGCCTTGTTCAGAGGTTATTGTGGATTTTGAAAATAATGCGGTAACAATAGATGTAGCCCATGGGAAAACCTTATATGGGAAGTTCATGAGTTGTATTATAATAAATCATGCAACTTACATATCCTCTATTGTTACCAAAGTCCAGTTTTGTAATATTTCTGTTCTACTAGCCTCTATGCGCTCCTCTTAAGCATTATTGATATGACTCATATTTCTTTTAAATTTATCTACTGGAGTTACTTTCCCCATTTGGACATTTATATTTGTTCATGAGTCAAAATGTCTATCTTATTTCCTAAATTCCAAGTTTTGTTGACAATATATGCAGGTTATTGGCTGGTCAATGTGGTTTACTGAATATCTTTTTCTGGAAAGAAATTGGGCTAAGGATGAAGGAACATTAAAGGTCTTGTTGGCATTAATGTTTCTGTCTCTCATTTGCAACTCTATATCTTATATAAGCCTTGCCATGGCTTTTTACTCAGTCAGGGCTGCAAAGGTTGCGGGACTTTCCCAGGCCATTTTGGTTGGCACTTTTTGTTGAAGGAACACGCTTTACTCAGGCCAAGCTATTAGCAGCTCAGGAATATGCAGCTTTGCAAGGGTTGCCAATTCCTAGAAATGTTCTGATTCCTCGTACAAAGGTAATTTCCTCAGCATGCCAAGATTATGGAAATAATGACACTTTCCTATTTTCTTTATTATTTTGTTACTCATTCGCAGACTTGCTTTATCAGTAACACTGTTTAGGACACTTTCCAAGATTGTCTGAAAGTTTAAAAAAAACCTTAAATCAACATAATGATTTTCATATGGCACTTCTTTCATACTCATTGTCTTTGTCATCATTACTCATTAGGGATAGCAATTAGGTCAGTTACGTGAGCTTTTACTAGAACCATAATCCCATATATGATTTTGCGCTGCCCCAACCTAATTATTTATCCGGCAAAAAATCCTAACCCGCAACTTACTCCTTAATACTAGGGTAACCTGAACCTGTCTTGTGAAACTCACTGATCTCCATCGTTTAACTGTAGAATTTTCTCTTATGGGATCTCGATTTTCTTGATCTTATAGTTAAAAATGCAAAATAAAAGGAAAATGAAGACTGGTAAATGAAAGTAGCAAAAAAGTGACTTTCTTTATTAGGAAACACTGAGGTAAGCAACATTTACAAAAAAACAATCAAGAGCTTTTGTCATCTTGGATCATACTTTTTTTTGTCATTTTCACCTTCAACAGAATCCTTTTGAGTGAGGCCTTTCATTGCCCTCTTGGATAAGAAATAGTGCTGGAAGAACAGTTCTTTGGAAAAGGAAGTGATAGTAGGACCAAAGGTTGTGTATTTAGGGAGAAAGAAACAAAGTGGATGAAATTTTATTAAGACATTGACTTTTGATGACAATGACGGGGATTAAGACTCAAAATTTCGATTTAAATGTAAATTTAAATGGTTCACCTTTTTTTTAATAGAGTTCCATGTTTGCAACAAATAACAATAAGGGTAATATGGAATAAGGCATCGTGTTAAGAATAAGTTCTTTCCTAGCTTTCGCCATGTTCAATTCTCTCATTATCTTCAAATCTTAGTTTTTTGGCATTTGAATTAAAAATTTCTTCTTGTTTCAACTTAATTTGGGGCAATTCAAGCTTATTAAGTTAAATTTCTTGATCTAAGGCTACCCATTCATTAATTTTGTTCTTTGTGTTTGGTGGATTAATCGAATTGTGATGTATACTAGGTTTAAGAATGACACATACACACTGATTGTCGATTAGGTTTGGGTTACTTCAAACAATATTATAAAAAGCGGTTTAGGTGCCCGTCTAGGCTTAGTGATTACCTGGACTGCCCGCCTAGGTATTGTGAGCCCCTAAGGGAGTGTGAACTGCTAATTGGACTGCACCGCTTACATCTTAGTCGTGATTTCCTTTGATGTCACCTCTACATCCTCTGATCTCTAGCCTCGTCTAACTACTATGAATGCCTCCACCTTCTTCAAGCTTCAACAAAACCTCCACTACTACTTAAACAAAATAGAAATACGCCTGGGCGCTAGGCGTTGTAATATTGACTTTGAAGGATAGGGTCAATTTGTGATGATGTTTGTCACGATACCAAACTTGATGCGGAGAGGAAACCCTATGGAACTCGGTAGAGGTACTATGTTATCCAACACAAAATGTCTGAAACATAAGGTGTTTGGATAATACTTATTTTATTAAACCTTATAAGTTACTTACTACTTATTTTTATTTATTTTTTTAGAGGGCAAAGTAGTATTTTACCAACAATAAGTAAATCTCCTTATAATTCCCCAAAAAATAAGTTGGGAATCCTAACTTATTTTTTCCCAACATATAAGTTAAAAATAAGTAAATAAGTAAACTTTACCAAACATGATATTGGACCCCTAGTAGAAACACACTTCCAAGTTAAATTAAGTAGACTGCCAGGCATGGTCTAAGTTAAGAGACAATGAAATGGAAGAGTGGGTTGTCTTAGGTGAGGGGGTTTGCTCGTATTACGGACTCTATGATAGTGTAATTCTTTAAGATGATAGGTAAGACGCACAACGTTCCCTTTTCTCCAACATTGGTATTTCCGCATAATAGAGATCCATAGGTGTATTATCTATGAAGCACGGACACGCATAACATGAAGCTGTGTCGTGTCGTGTCCGTGTCGGACACGTGTCGAACACACGTATCCTATGTATTTTTTAGGATTTGCCTCGTCTCGACGTGTCGGATGGCCGTGTCGGATCCGTGTCCGTGCTACATAGTGTATTATAGTATATATCATTCAATCTTAGGTTTGGGTTGTTTACTAAGACCGATGGGATTTTGGGCTTATGACATGTTGAAATCTATTCGACTATATTTATCAATGATTATTGAGGCACTGTTACTAATATGGTGTAACAATCCCAAATGAGCAAAACTTTTGTGATCTCGTTCATGTAAGGTCTCAATAAGTTTCCATATGTATGTATTCGGCAGTGTCTTAATGTGGTTTTTTTAGGCAATCAAATCATGAAACCTTGAGTTGGTTAAGTACAATATGAAATGATGCCAAATTCTTAGTCTGCGGATAGCATAAGAAGAGTTGATTATCTCCGGCTTAGTTGCGTAAGGACGTTTTTGTTCTTCATCACATGTTCATCTTTGTAAAAATTATGTTTGACAATGGCCGATTCAGACCGTTTGATTTTGGATGTTTAATTGAGAAATATAATGATTAGTTAATACTCTTTAGAGATTTCTCTAACCAGTGCTTTGTACGTTTGAGCACCTAAGGCATTCAGGCGACACATTTAGCAAGAAGAACAATAAGTTTACAAGGTGGTAAACTTCCTTAGGCGAGAACACCTCAGACGCTTCAGTAGCCTAAGACGACCACCATTTCTGCATAGGCCAGACACTATAAGATACTTTGCTAGTTTTGAAAGTGGTGATTCCTTTGAAAAATTTTACTCACCTCCCCATTTAAAATTATATAATTCTTTGAGTGTACTAAATTGAGTATGCTATATTCTAAAAGGATGTGACCCTTGTAGCAAGTTTAGATAATGGTGGACCCCAATTTCCACTTTTTGCTTCTTATTTCCTCTTTTAAGGAGATGCAAATTTTATGCGTACTACTTGGTTAAGAATAAAAATACAATAATATTTAAGTTTATGTAACTTGGTTGAAGATGCAAAACCAAATAATGATGTTTATATATAAGCTATTATTTAAGTTTGAATCTTGAGCTTCTTCCCTTCTTTTTGTATCTCCAGTTTGAAGCTTACCCTCTTAAAAACACAATTTTTATTGTTCTTCTAAATATTGTAACATTTTTATGAAAAGTATTTCTCTGAAAATTAGTATTTTTTTTTGAAAATTTTCCATAAATTTTTTGAGAATATTTTCCATAACATTGTTTTTCCTTAAGATTTTCTTATGAAAATTAATAATTTTTTAGAAAGAAATTTTTTAAGGAAATTTGTTTCTTCCACATTGTATCACTTCTATTTTTTTTTCAAATTTTTTTCATAGAACACTATTTTCCTTATCGCTTTAGTTCACTCATGCGATGCCTTTTGTGGCGTCTCTCGCCTCAGGCTATATATGAAGTCATCTCCTTTTAGTTGCCTTTCATCTTTAAAACACTGCCTCCAACGACTTGATAATTCCTACTAAGCTGCGGTGCATGTTTATTAAAATTTGCAAGTTTGAGGAAGTTGAGGAACCTTCACCGAAATTCTTAATTCTGTTCATCTTTGCTACATAAAATTCTTAATTCTGTTCATCTTTGCCACAATGTTCAAAGCACATTTTTATTATGCATTCAGACTGAAGCGAGTAACGATTAATCGAATTATACGCCAAGTAATTTGATTAAACAGAGTAATGTTGTTTTGAATTTTTTAGTATATTAAATATTTTTTCATATATTAAAATCTATAAAATTCATGCAAAATAGAAAATATACTAAGAAAAGGCTAACAAACATGCAATGAAGAATTAATAACTAGCTAACTACTTAAAAATTCAGTCGAAGGTGGTAGGTGAGTGTGTCAAGAAGATGTAGTAGCAACTCGTAGGTGACGATTTTGGAAATGATCAGAGGAGAGAGAAGAGGTTAGGGCTAAGGTAGGGTTTAGGGTAGGTCTTTTTTGTTAAAGGAGGTTAAGCAGGTTGGGTTTCACTTTAATTGGATTTACCCAAAAAAATTTAAAAAGAAAAAGCAACTGCATAAACTTTTTATGGGGGTGCATAATTACTATGTAGATGGCCGCATAATGCAGAACTTTCCCTTGAACCCAAGCATTTTAGCCCACATCAGAGTAACCGAGTGAGTAAGCGGTCGCATAATCTGTTTTTTAGAGAATTGGACATGCATATCAGTTAATATTCAAGAACTACACGAGGTCTAATTAAGCTGTTGGGATGTAGCCTTTATCCTTATTTCCTGAGATATCCATGATGATAAGTGGATAAAACTGTTTTTTGGTTTGAACAAAATAGCAAAGGAGGTCATTTTAGGCTTGTGATTGGCTTTTAGTAGCAGAAAATATTCTTCTTTAACATGAAATTAAAACTGAATAATTCATCATATAGTTGCCTGAGTTGTTACAAATTTGAATCGTCTTTAGGGACATTGGGAATGCGAAAGTTTTTGGTATTCATCATTTCTATGGTAGTAGTTTCAGCTTTTGGGATGTCAAGATTCAGATTACATGCTTCTACGATTGTATTGTTGCTCGTCATTATCGTTTGTTGCGTAAGCGTAAATATGCAAGTAATTGGGAATGAGGTGCACAGTACATAACTGGTAGACTTTTATTTTCTGTATTTGAAATTGTTTGCAGTTCTTTGCATTTTCCCATGTCAAATTATTATGAATTTTGACATTTCTGCTTCATCTTTTGTTGACCTCAGGGGTTTGTTTCTGCTGTTAGTAACATGCGCCAATTCGTTCCAGCTATATACGATGTAACAGTAGCTATACCTAAAGGTCGACCGTCACCGACAATGCTTCGAATTTTTAAAGCCCAACCTTCAGTTGTAAGTACAAAATAACTTATAAAGTAATTTCATTGGGAATATTTTCTCATCTAAACTCTGTTATTTAACCACACTTTTCTTTGTTCATTAAAATGTTATTATACTTATCTATCATCTTAGCTCTCCATTTCATTCGACATAATCATGTCAAAAAGAGAATGTAGGTGCAAATGCATTTGTATTTATTTACATACATGCAAACATGCACATGCATACCGAGGCTGTAATGGTGGTTAACCTGTTAGCTGAAACAGTTTGTTTCATAACTATGGATTAAAACATTGGAGCCAAATCATCTCCACTGAAAGCCTGTCATTTCTGTGCACATCAGATTTTCTCTATAAGAGACCGGCCTCAAATGAGTAAATGGACTGTTTGGCAGTCATAAATGGCACTACTTTCATGAAATGGACATGAGAGAAAACTGCTTTGACTATTTTTCCATCTGTTCAAGATTCATCTTTCTCCAAATAGCCATATGGGAACATCCTTGAATACTTCAAGTGCTATTTTGTTGTATACACCCTTTACCTTTAAATTCTCCTAAAAGACAATATAAAAAGTTTTGCCCTGTTATCTTGATAGAGGTATTTAGGTATTAAGAATATTTTCAGTCTTTAAATTGACTTAAAACTTTCCAGTTACATCTATCCAATTAAAACATATCAATTTGATAAAACCTTTTGTCTTAGATAAACAATGTAAATGGTATAAAAGTAACTTAAATGAATAAAACTAAAGAGGGATATCAATCAAATTAGAATTGTAGCAAGCTGCCAAATGTTTAAGTCAATTGAATTATGATTCTGAAAACCATTAACTTTGAATCTTAATCTAATAAGGTTTCTAAGAAAACTGGATGTTTCAAATATGAGGTTTGGAATGCATCATCTTGTTGTTGCAAGATGTCAGATATCTAAGCATGTAGGAAAATTGTTTCTTGACTGGGAAAATATATGGAAAAAAAGATTGTATCATGACTAACTATTCTTTTATAAGGACTTTGACATAGTATTACTCTTTGGCGGAGTTATCTGCTCCGTTTCTCCTGTTAATGGGAGACTGGCAATTCGTTGCTATTGTAGAACCGCTATATCAAGGGTTCGTCTTTAGATAATCGTCTGCTATCATGCATTGAAGTGCAATATTTTATGATCCAGTTTGTACTTTTTAAGGTCCAAATGATTGTACATATAAAAATAGTTTTGTCTCGTGTATCGTCTACTTGAATCAGTGCTTTATCAATTCCAATATGCTATATTGGAGGATGTTGAGAGATAATATGTAATATGGATTAGTGGTTTAGTCCCACATCGGTTGTAACACCAGACTTGTATCCTTTTGAAACTATATATAGACTAGAGTATGAGACCCTAACCTCATAACTCTTTCTTCTCCAAATCTCTTCTTTCAATATTGACATGGTATCAGAGCCACGTTAAAAAAAAAAAAAAAAAAGGGGCGCATCAACTGTCAGTTGCCGCCCTTCTCGATCTTCACCATCTCCTTCAGCCTCGGTCTCCGCCTGCTTCCCTCGAGGCCCCGCCGATGCCAGTCGCCTCGAAACCTAGAGTCGCTAAGCCGCCTCAAAGCCCGCCTTCGCCGCCTCCAGCCATCAACGTCGATCTTGCCTTCGCCGCCTCCAGCCATCAACGTCGATCTTGCCTTCGCCCCCTCCAGCTACCAAAGCCGCACCCACCAGCGTATCCCCCCGCGCCACCTGCCCTAGCCAACATCCGACTGTCCAAAACCCTAGGTGATCTCAGCATCGCATCCCATGCCCTATTCTAATCTGTCGCCATTCATCTATCGCTCCAGTCTCGTTTTATCTCAACTCATGTGTTCTGAGCCGTTCTTTTATTTCTGATGTGGACTCCTGTTCATTTATTTCTAATTTGGACTCATGCTCTGAGTCACTGAACCTGATTTGGGTGATTTGATCTGCTCTATCTGATCTGTTTGTGGAGGGTCCTTTCTTTTCGTCTACTCTCCGATGGCTGGTTCTGATTCGACTAAGCTAGCTGATTCTATGATTCCAACGAGAGTTTCTGAGTTACTTTCTGGTCGGATCACTGACCGGAAACTTGATGGCAACTACCTGCAGTGGAAGCGGGTAGTGGAGATCTATGTGGCCAGTCGTGGAAAGACTAGTCACCTGTTGACGGATCCTCCTACTCCGATATCTGATTCCTGGACACTTGATGACAATGTTCTTCTGCATCAACTCTTGACTTCTATGGAACCCAAAATCCAGGATCTCGTTCTTCATTGTCTTACTGTAAAAGAACTCTGGGCCTTTCTGGCCGATCTCTATGGTGGTCACAATGACATCAACCGGGCGTATGATGTTATTCAGGAGTTGTTTAGAAAGAAACAAGATGGCAAGAACATGGATGACCACTATGGCGAGTTCAATCGCCTTGCTGAGGAGCTTCGCCAAATATTCCCTATTACTGGGGATATCAAGCAGATGCAGAGTTAGTGGAATCGTTTGATGGTTCTCACATATTTGGGTACTCTTGATCCTGTTTATTCCTCAGCCCGTCCACAAATCATGGGAAGTTCCTCTATATGTTCCCTTGCTGAGACATATCATTTTCTGAAGAGTGCTATTTCTGCACCACTCTGCCACTTCTACAGCCAACCAAGACCATTCTGCCCTTGCTACTCAGAATTGGCAGTCGACTGGCCGGGGAGGCTATTCTGGTGGACGTAGCCGTGGTCGTAGTGGTTCTGACGGTCGTGGTGGATTCATTGGAGGTCGTTCTACTAGTCGTGGTGGACACAGAGGTGACCGTGGTGGACCCTCTCGGGGTAACTCTGGTAATGAATCTATTATCTATTGTCATTATTGTCATGAGCCAGGTCACATGAAGTTTAACTGTCCAAAGAAGAAGGGGAAGGAGGCATTTCTGGTCTCTCAAGACGTTTCTCAGGATAGCCATTCTCAGCTGCCGTCTCCATTTCCGGATGAGCAGTTGCGTCGTCAGTTTGAACAGTTCCAGCTTTTCCAGCAGTATCAGCATACACAGGCCGTGCCATCTTCTTCCACTGCTACTCTTGCCCAAGCAGGTACTCCTACAGCTTTTCTTACTTCGGCTTCCACTCCAACCTGGATTATAGATTCCGGAGCTACTGATCATATGACTGGGAACCGAGGTATTCTGTCTTCTTTTTCACCTATTTCTAACTCTGTTGTCCTAGCTGATGGGTCTCGGAAACCTATTCGGGGTACTGGCAACGCGCTCACCACTCCTTCCCTTCCCCTATCCTCTGTCTTTTATCTACCTGATTTTCCATATAATCTTTTATCTGTCAGTAAGATTACTAAGCTTCTCAATTGTACAGTAACATTCTTTCCTTCATATTGCGTATTTCAGGATCTGGTGACGAGGAAGACGATTGGTACAGGACGTGAACGCAATGGCCTGTATGAGCTAGAGTTGGCATCCGAGCACGTGGCCTGCATCAGTACTGTTTCAGCTTTTGAGTACCACTGTCGGCTAGGTCACCCTTCTCTACCCGTACTAAAACTTCTTGTTCCCTCTTTAGGTTCTCTTTCCTCCTTAGATTGTGAGTCATGTCAGTTAGGAAAGCACCATCGCGTGTCTTATCCTAGTCGGGTCAATAACAGAGCTCTTCACCCTTTTGATTTAGTTCATTCAGATGTATGGGGTCCTTGTCCCGTCATTTCAAAATTGGGATTCAAATATTTTGTTAGTTTTGTGGATGATTATTCGCGTGTTACTTGGATATATTTGTTGAAATCTCGTTCTGATGTGTTCTCAACCTTTAAAATATTTTTCTCAGAAATACAAAATCAGTTCAAATCCACAATAAAAGTCTTACGATCTGATAATGCTAAGGAGTACTTAGAAACAAATTTTGCCAACTTCCTTGCTCAATCTGGTATTTTGCATCAGTCCTCCTGTGTTTACACTCCTCAACAAAATGGAGTAGCTGAAAGAAAGAATCGACATCTCCTAGACATTGCTCGGACCTTATTATTTCACAGACATGTACCTAAAGAATTTTGGGGTGATGCTATCCTTACTGCTTGTTACTTAATTAACCGAATGCCGTCTTCTGTCCTTCAAAATAAAATTCCATACACTCTGCTGTATCCTGACACTCCTTTGTTTCATCTACCTCCAAAAATTTTTGGGTCTTTGTGTTTTGTCCATAATTTTAGCCCTCAAAAATCTAAACTTGATCCTCGGTCCCATAAAGGTATCTTTCTTGGATATTCTCGTACCCAAAAAGGATACCGATGTTTCTGTCCGTCTCTCCAAAGATATATTCTATCTTTCGATGTTACATTTTTTGAACACCAAGCTGGCCATTCTTCATCTGTCTCTTCCAGCCACTTAGACTCTTATGACTATTTGACCCTTCAGGAAACTTTATTTCAGCAGGTTGACTCTCTGGCTGATCAGGGTATTGGTAAAGATACCCACAGCGCCTCGAGAGTCTCTCCAGCTTTATACACGTCGCTCAGATCTTCCTGCCTCCTGTACTTGCCCGGTCTACCTCCCCCCTACCTCCAGAAAGCGTTCCAAGTGCTACTGTACCCTTGATCCTGCCGTTCGCATGATCTTCCTATGCATTTATAAGGGTAACACAACTTGCACTAAAATCCTCTCTCCAACTTCGTCTTCATACTTCCATCTTTCCTCTTTTTAAATCCTTTCTCTTCGATTGGACAACCATCATTCGTCTGGTTCCCCAAGACGTGTCCGAACACCGAAAACTCTAATCTAATACCAAGCAAAGTTGGCCAAACAGAATAAAAGAATAAAAATGAACGGCCAATCGAAATGGCATAGCCTAAAAAAATTGGGCAAAATGATAATTGGAGAGATATAGGATAAAATCATCATATCACAAAAAAGGAAACAAAAGCGGAATCTGGCAAAGCAAAGAGCCAGAAAGAGAACGACACAGACGCGCTGCACATCGCGGTTACTCCTGACAGATAGAGACCCCTCAGACGATTAAAC